CTCTCCGGGTGGTTGGAGGGCGCTACTGGTAGGTCCTACGTCTTTACTTTTCCCCTCTGTTGTTTCTGCCTTTCTGTCTTACTTTTTGCGTCCCCTAAATGACCACCGTTGTGTCGATGTACCTCTTTTTACTCAAACAAAACGACAGTCGAACAGTTTTGTAACCTGCAGCACAATCAAGCATGCCTGCATCTGTGGTGTAGCCAGTGAGCTCGTGGCTGCAGCTCGCGGAAGACCTGAGTTCGAGTCTTGCGTAGGGGAGAATTTTTAATCGAGGGACGTTGTATCCTCATTAGTCCTGGTTAGCCCTGACAGGTGGGTCCTAAATACATGTATTATAAATCGTGTTGATGGGGGCTGGAAAACACCTACATTCAAAAAAGAAAATCCCATGCTAAAAGTCAGCTTGCTGCATGGGTGGTTAGTGGGTGCTTACTTGTTGTTTGCTCTTTCTTTCCTATCAAACAATTATTGTCCTTATCTCTCCTCCTTTTTACAATTCTTTTTATAGTTTGTTACTCCCTTGTTACGCCTCAAATCTTACGCACTTGTACTGTATGTCATAACTGTTGCAAGTGCCGTAAAACACCCACTAAAACTAAGCTAAGTCTATTCTCTTTTATTTTCTTTTGTTTTGAGTTTGTTATTCTCTTGCAACACCTCTAACTAATCTTCGGCACTTTATACTGTAAGACCTTACTGTGTTTCAAGTGCCGTCAAACGCTTATGAAAACAAACAAATTTTTCCGGAGTGGGTGGTTCGCGGGTGTTCTGGTGTGGTTTGGTCCTTCTTTCCCAACAAACATCTATCGACCTGATCTCCCATCCTCCTTTTTTTTTGTTTGTTACTCTCTTGTAACTCCTTTCATCCCTCCTCCTTTTCTGTGTTTGTTACTCTCTTGTAACACCTCTAATCTTCGTTACTTATATGACCTTATTGTGTTTCAAGTGCCGTAAAACTCTTTCTAAAGCAAAAAAATATTTTTTTTATGTGCAGGGACCAAACGGGTCATCAGAATCTGAGCCTGCCAGTGGACAACCAGCCCGAGCGACAGCGGCGAGGTGAGGTTGTGACGTTAGTAAGAAGCAAGAAGTCACCGTGCTAAAGAACTCTGGTCGCTGGTAATCTGTCCCTTGGGGCCTCGCCTCTCCTCTTAACAGGCCGGGTTAACCCGGTTTCACATCGTCATCTTTTGCTGGAGTTTTCCGTCCTGAGATGAAAGGTATGTTGATATAATGTTGTCGTCATCATCATCATCATCATCATCATCATCTTCATCATCATCATCATCTTCATCTTCTTCATCATCATCATCATCATCATCATCATCATCATCATCATCATCATCATCTTTATCATCATCTTTATCATCATCATCATCATCATCGTCGTCATCTTTGTTTGTGGAATGCAGAGTAGGAGGGAGAGTCTTGTTTGAATTTCAGAAAAAAAATAACATAACAATATAAAATGTTTGACATTTGTTTGATAGACACAGCTCAACGTTTCGCCTCTTGGGCTTCCCCAGGAGCGACTGAGAGAAATACTAAATGGGCGCTGTATACTAGTAAGGAAATGGGCCTAACAAAGAGGGTCTCAAGATTACGTGTGGTTACAGGCTAGACGGAAGTAATTCAGAGCGAGTCAGGCCAAGAGGCTAATTATAAAGAAATTGATTCCTCATCACCATCAATCATCATCATCATCATCATCATTATCATTATCATCATCATCATCATCATCATCATCATCATCATTGTGCTCTTCCGTTGTGGTCTTTTGCCGTGTCTTTTTAATTTCTCATTAATAATTGTTTTATGTGTTTGCTTGTTTGTGTGTGTTTATTCTGGGTGGGTGGTTGGTAGACCCCCCCCCCCTCCTAATCTTGGTGACAATTTCTTTATTTTTCCTTTGTCGTTTCTGTCTGAGCGTCTTACATCCAGCACTAATTGGCTATTATTGTAGCCGTGTGCTTTTCTTGTGGGTGGTTGGTGGGTGCTGTGGTGTGGTTTGCTTCTTCTTTCCTTTCAAACATTTATCGTCCTTGTCTCCCCTTCTTCTTTTTTCTGTGTTTTACTCTCTTGTAACAGTTCTAATCTTCTGGCACTCGTATGACCGTATGCAATAATTTAATTGCGAGCGCCGTAAAACCTCTACTAAAACTAAAACTCTTGCCTGGAGCAAAAACAAACAAACAAACCAAGCAAACGAGCCACTTCAAGAGGCTAAAGTGTGTGTCGTCGTACCACCCACCTATATGTACACGTCATGTACATGTATTTGCAAGCGGGACGGATAATGATACGTGGGTGGTTGGCGGGTGCTTTAGTGTGGTTTGCTCCTTCTTTCCTTTCAAACGTCTATCGTCTTTATCTCCCCTTTCTCTTTTTTCTTTTTTTTTTTTTCGTTACCCTCTTGTTTCACCTCTAACCTTCGGCATTCATATGACCTTATGCAGTTGCGAGCGCCGTAATACCTCTACTAAAACATAAAACATTAACCACCTGCTCTCTTCAGTCTCTTTGATCTCTCTCTCTCTCTCTCTCTCTCTCTCTCTCTCTCTCTCTCTCTCTCTCTTTCTCTCACCTTATTGTGTACAAAGTGCCGTAAAACTCTTACTAAAGCTCAAACAAAATGAACACCAACATTGCCAAATGTCGCTGTCAAGTGGGCCGTGTTGCCCAGGCTGGCTAGCACTGGTCTAAATTGTGTGGGTTGGGGCGTAAACCCCCAACCACTAGCTCTCTCCAGTCTTTAATTTTGCTCTTTTGTTTGCTATCTATCTCTCCCTTTCTCTCTCTCTCTCTCTCTCTCTCTCTCTCTCTCTCTCTCTCTCTCTCTCTCTCTCTCTCTCTCTCTCTCTCTCTCCCTCTGCGTGTGTGTGTGTGTCTCTCTCTCTCCATCTTCTATATTTTTCGCCTAATGCTTAAATTCTAATGGTTAACCTAACACCTAAGTCGTCGATATCCGACCCTAACCATATAAGTGCATAAACATTGATTTTTTCTGTAAAGCACCCCCCCCCCCTCCCGTCTCCTAACCCGGCCCCGTACGCCGTAATTTCTTTAGTCTACCGGCGCTGCTCCAAGTTTTGTAATGTGTGGTCTTTTTACGTAATGAAGTACCATATATTGTAAATAACGGTTGTGCATAACATAGTTTTGTAGGCGGGAAAAAACGCTGAAAATTGTTGACCTAATTTGTTGTATGCGCATATCGGACATTGACGATTTGTGCCTTGTAGATAGACAGCGCGATAATGTCGGAACTCAAACTGGTGTGAACTGCGAGGTATAAACTAAAGGTATCCTCTCTACCCTCCTCCCTCCCTCCGCCCCGTCCTCTCTCTCTCTCTCTCTCTCTCTCTCTCTCTCTCTCTCTCTCTCTCTCTCTCTCTTTCTCTCTCTCTTTCTCTCTCTCTCTCTCACACACGCACACACACACACACACACACACACACACACACACACACACACACACACACACACACACACACACACTCACGTACACACACACATTCTTTTTAGGAGGGGGGAGAGGTTGTTGGGGTTTTTTTGCCGGTTTTTTTTCTGACTCATACCTTTTGGGATCAGATTTGGTTTATAATTGAATTGATATCGGGACTGTGTCGTACAAGTTCTGGCATGTGGGTTTTTTGTGGTATACGTTATGTTTGAAGTCGTGAAAAGACTTTGCTTACAAGCGTCTTAGACTAAAATATAGGCTCAGCACGATGGAATGCGCTATAATTCTCTTACGCTGAGGATTAGTGATCTGAATTTAAGTTCTAGTTGCATAAAATGCCCTTTCACCTTAGAAAACGGCACGACCTCTACGCTACCTCAGAGTTACAAAGTTCTATCTGCTCAGTGCTTATAGTTTTGAAAATTTTGAGTTTCACTTTATGCCACGCTTTTTCGAATGCAATTCCTTTTAATAATATCTTGATGACGACTACGAATAATCTTATGATTTTGTTAGAGCAAATATAATATTTGGTTTCTGATTTCGTGGTCCTTAGTTAATCAAAACGTCCCAAAATGTCAGATAGAACTTTTAAATTCTAAAATACCGCCGACTTGCTATCTTGACTTGATGCCCTCACAAAAAGTGTAATGGCGTCTGATTGTAAGGCTCTTGTTTGTTTGCACTCGGAAAAGATACGCGTCATGAGTTTGGTTTCCGCGTGACAAAGTCTATCCTTCCGACGTCTGTGGTGTTGCCGTTAGGCGCTTCGCTGTCGCGCGCTGGAGAACCGAGTTTGATTCCCGAGTGGGAAAAACGTTTTTATCGAATATCTCGGTTTTTCTGCTTGGGTGTTGTATCCCTCTGAGCCCGAGCTGGCTTTGACAGTCTTGTTTTCGTCACTGATAATTTTTACCGATTTGTGTTGCAAGTGCGGTTAAACCGTCACTAATGCGGAAACTAAAGATTGACGTGTCTCGCTCAAGAACACAGTCAGGGGGGCCGCCCACCTTTTTATACTGCGCTAAAAGCCTTGCTTGACTATATTCCCTTGTGAAAACCTACGAACTGCTTGGCTATTGAACATCCCCACCCCCATTCGTCCTACCCCCCAAAATCATTTTAAAAATTAACATAAAATGAACTTCACCATGAAAATGAACGTAAAATGAACATATACGATTAGTGTCTAGAAACATTTGCAGATCTTTGGTCGACAATTTGGTCCGGCAGATCCATCATGACCGGCATATTTAAATTATTTTTTTTTTTTAAAAATCGGTGCCCGTGTCTCATGCGTGTAAATTATTTGGCGTTGATCATCATGCCGTGATTCATTATCTGACACAGGGCTCGCTCATTATCCTCGTGGCGGTATTTTGGCCCACAAAATTAAAATGTCTTATCATCGTGACAGTGTCACTGTGGTTATTTATTTTTTTTAATATATTATTTTTTTTTTAATGTTTTTGTTTTGTTGCTGGGTTTGTTTTGGGGTTTTTTAGACTGAGAGGATGCCCTAGTAGCACTGGGGGAAAATCTTGTATATATATTCTGCTGATGTCACTACTTTTGCGTGTATTATTGCTGTACTGTAAACTATTTTTTTTGCGATGGTACGTTACGTGGGTATCTGGAGGGTGCTCTGGTGTGGTTTGCTTCTTTTCTTAAAAATCAAACATCTGTCGTCCTGAACTCTTACTTAAGTTTGGTCAAAGTTTTTCGGCGCTCGCAACTGCCTTGTCCATATTATCTCTCCTCCTTTTTTTCTGTGTATGTTCCTCCTCTTCTGTGCATATTACTCGCGAGGAACACCTCTTGTCTACAGCACTATTCTGACCTGTGTTGCGAATGCCGCTACACTTACTAAGAGGACTACTTTTATCAAAAGAACTACGGTGGCTCGTGAACATGGGCGCTACGATGTGCTCTGCTCCGTCTACTCATAATTTTTGTAACGTTGTTCTGGTAGTTAGGCTACCAGACTCGTGATCGTGACATTGCGGGTTCGGGGGTTCGAGCCTCAGCTCCGTCCGACGTGGTGTCGTTGGAAAAGGCACTTTACACGAATGTCCCGCGTGGCTCGGTCCTTTCGGAGACGGACGTTAAACTCGGAGTTCCTGCCTCTTACATAACCTAATTCTGTTGATAGGGGCGTTAAACCTTTATAACCATTTCACCATGATATTTCGTAATTTGTGCAATGTTGTCCTGGTGACATGTAGGCGTTTACACTACAAAGTACAACTTTTTGTGGCTCTCATGTTGCGAACTGTTATATTGTTATTCGAAAGAATTACAAGTAAAGGATGCGGCAGGAATTAAGGAAGAGCAAAGACATCCGCCGCTCCCCTCCCTACGTCACCCCCCCCCCCCCCCCCGCCAAAATAAGAAAGGAGAAAAAAATCAAGTTATGATGCTATAGGGAATGCCCTCCCCTCCCCTCCCCTCATTTCATGACCCATACCGTGTCGTTGTGCTTCTCTTTACTCTGTTCGAACTTGGGCGCTGTGGTCTTTGAGAGGTGGCCTCGTCTCTTTCTTTTTTACGTTAAGAGAGAGATTATAAATTGGGGTCTGCGGTGTGGCGGTTACATGCTTCGCTGCTGCACACAGCAGACCCAAGTTCCATTCCCGGATGGGGGAGAATTTTTATCGAGTTTCTCGGCCTTTCTGCTTGGACGTATCCCTCTCAGCCCGGATTGGCACTGACAGACAGTGTCAGGAGCCCTCCTCCTAAGTGATCTAGGCCTAACTT